AGGCCCTTAATATTTTTCTTTCAATTGAAAATTGAAACTCTAAAGTTATGATGACGTCAAGCTTCTTTGCATCTTGTTATGATCATTCGTTAGACTGTCACAGAGTTGAAAAGAAACATCCCCAAAGCCTTTTCAGAAGTATTAGTCTTCCGTGTACGTGATTTCTTGGAAATAATGCTAATAGACCCTGAATATGCGGTAATAACTGGCCTATAGTGTAATGTACCAGCCAGTACCGGGAAGCGCATAGGAAAAATGTGTAGGGCGATGGTTTGATATTAAAGCTTTTGCTATGAAGGAAAAACATGTTGGTCTGAAAGAGATTAATATCCTACAATTCAACATCGGATTATCGAAACAGACATATGGTGAAGAGATCTAAAGAAGAGAAGATGGTTCTTTTCTTGGGATGGGTTTGAAAAAGAGAAAAAGGTCTAAAAAGACAACAAGACCATAGAAGAAATACAAAAGCTGCTGCTCGAGGAAAGATCTTGCAATCAGAAAACCGCAGAAGAAGAATGGATTATAAAAATCCACACAGACAACCTCAGCTTGGAAATGAAGCTTGAAGAAGAAACAGAAGAATCAAAGAAGAAAATGAAGCATAGAGAGACCTTTTAATCGCTAAGAAGAAGAATAAGGATCATTGATAAAAGAAGACAAATAAGAAAAAGATAAGGTCAATTAAGTGGAAAAAGTAGAAATCGACGATGATGAAAAAAGAAAAAGATATTGATGATGAAGAAGAAGGAATGTAAAGGCTCGATGATGAAGAGGTATAGCAATATTGATGAAGAAAAAGAAGGTCATAAGGACAAGGAAGAAAGAAAAAAAAGATTACGAAGAAGCAGAAGAAGGGAAAAGGAAGGTGATGATGACAAGGAAGGATAGAAAAAGAAGATGACGAAGAAAAGAGAGATGGCGATGACAATTAAGAAAAGAGAAAGTAGATAATGAAAAAGACGAAGAAGAAAAGGTGATGATGGAGAAGAATCAGATGTTTTATCTCGCTATCTTCATTATCAATTGCTTAATAAGTCTAGAACATGCTCAAAAACCCTAACTAAGGTGTAAATATTTCCCGGGTAGAAGTGCCTTCAGTTTGGTAAACGAATCGGTGAGATTAAGATGTTGTCTAAGAAGCTATCTCTTATGAATAGGTAGTACAAAAAAGAAAACACTTTTGATTTCCGCTGAGAAATGTTTCCGTATATGGGGAATAGGATAAGCACAACTTATTTCAGAACCTCGAATCATGCACAACCAAACTGACACTTAATCAAAGCATCCAAAATATGCCACAATTTACCTTCTATTAAACTGATTTGAACGCCAGTAGCTTCGACACTTATTTGTTTTCGCTTGTAATAAATAAAATGATCGTTAGATGATTTACAGGTAGCGGCGACCAATCATAAATCATTTGTTATTTCAACGCAAAGGTAAACGAAAAGCCATTTCACGACAAAGGGGATCGACTCCAAGTAAAACCCTTGATATGCCTAAAGTGTCTGTAAGATTCTCATCGCTTTTATCTGATGTGAGCATCCAATGAGAGTAAAGTCTAGCTATAAGCAGCATTACGAAAAATGACGTAATCAAGAGCAGGTTGTGAAATGACAAAACGTTCTGTTTTTAGACGCAAATAGCACTGTTATCAGTGAAAAATGCGACGAAATTGCCATAATAATTCATATATCGCAAATTATTATCGTTTTATCTAATAAACAACATTACCGCAACTCTTTTGTAAGCGTAACTCCTAAAAGTAAAGCAAAGACAATAAGTTTGGAAAGAAAACTGGATCTGTGATTCCTTTCAACACTGACGATGATTCAACGTGCTAAAAATTTTATGAAAATTTGTGGTGACTTGTGTAGAGATTTAGAAGCTTGCTACATTTATATTTTAACTGTCCTATCGCAATTTATTCAAATATAGTTCACTAAAACAAATGTGTAAACTTTCCGAAACTCCACCGCACAGTCGGCTTGCTTTTGGTATAAGCAAAATAGTGTAGAAATACTCCACAAATACAAATCTATGGTAAAGCATCTTGGACCAAGCTCCCATTGAAGCAACCAGTGAGGGGCTAGGCCACAATGCATAGGGTTGCTGCCGAAAGTGAGCAGACAAAACAGATGTATACTTACAGAATTTGTTGTCGAAGTCTAAAAATGGGATTTCCACAAAGTCTCCTATTTGTAACTCATACAACACTGAAAATTTTCTGTTTTTATCAAATCCACTGCTATTTTGTGTTTTGACTGTGCGTTATACGGAAGTACGGTAGCTATGTTTTCAATGCTGCCTCATGGTACGAACGAGGTATATATGAATAATGGATGATTTCAAAACGAGTCTATCGCAGGTGTCGTTTATGCTAAGTGCTGGATATGTGTTCTATGTGGGTTAATTAGCCATTCAAATATTGTCGTTATACAGAAGATAAGTCCATATTTATTACAATAGCAATGTTTATATCGCAATTCAAAAGATTCCTTGTTCTGGCATTTCAGCGTGACAGCTGTTCAGTATAAACCCTGAATAAGAGATAAATTTTACGTTGATGATTAAATTTCCGGAATATCACCCGTTCTGGGAATATGAAGAGCCTTTTTCACCACGCTACCTTATGAAGATTTCAGCAGAAAACCGCGTATTCTTAAATATTCTTAAATATGCAAGTTTGCTATTGGGACTTTAGTTGCACCAGGAGCTTTGGTGATCATACTTATTTCATATAATAATTTTCACTGAGATATTTTTAAACATTGTCATTTAGGTCAAATAAATATTGCTATATACTGTTATCATAAAGCAATAAACAAGCAAATTATTCTCAATAACATATGATGAGATTTCCTACTCAGGTGGAATAGAAATTTCTCTTGAGTACAATTCAGTGAGCGAGCCTGGTAATATGGGGTGAAAAGATACCCACTGGGATTGCACAAGTGAAACAAAACAATCATTTGTATTTAATCGAGGGAAGTGGAACTAAGGCTGTTCATGTGAAGGAAGTCTTGTAAAGGGAATCATGAGAAGGCTAGCCTATCAAAGTGGAATATCCCATCAAATATTACCACAACCTTACTGGACTTGCGAGCAGTGAGTGGTGTTTATGTGATTTCATGTGTTTCAAGCTCAGTGTAGTCCTTAAGCCTGGTTTCCATATAGTCGTAAGGTTGCCGGCGACAGTTTTCTGCATTTTCCATCTGCCACTTCCCCGGTACCGCAGTCGGACGGTTCAACTGAAAAAGTCTGAATCTTGTGCCGCAACAATCGTGCCTTAAGTATCGCAAGATACCGCTAACTGTGCCGGTAACTACGAGATGGAAAGGCGTGCTTTTAAATTGGCGCCAACTTGTGTGGAAATTTGCTTAGGTACATGAGGTTTAAGGCTTTCTTAATAACGGATAAAAAGGAAACACAAATGCCACGTGAGAAGAATTTTCAAAGAACGGAAAAACCCTGGTCAATTTCATACGTTGCTTCATTTCCTTTTTGAGAAGCGTTTTGCAATCCCTACAACTGTTAACGTATACCTCAGCTCACCAGTGTTTCGATATCAACATATCTTTAAATCAAGATTAGGATTCAGGAACCTTTTCACGATACTTCAGTGTTCAGATTGAGGCTGAGATGATAGGTGTTATGATTGGTCTTAATTAACAAAGGAAGACAATCGTTTGCCGGCGGCTGTTCCAGGCAACCTATTTTCATATAAATTTCATGGATGCAGTACCGGAACGATGCCGTTAAGTATTGAGAAAAGTTGAAGCGATTCAATTTTTCCAAGTCGTTACGGTACGGCAAACATCAAGGTGGTTTCCATGTAAGTTTAAATGGCTGCATCATGCCGGGGAAAATGTCTTCCTTAAGGTATCCTACGGCCAAATGGAAACCAGACTTTAAGAGTGCCCGTAAACAAATAGCAACCTTACATATGGAAAATGCAATCTTACTTATCTCTAAAATACTTTCACAAGTAGAAGACATGATTCCACTCCATCAATCAGCTGATAAAACACAAGGAATCGAATTTTATAATGATAAAAAACACAAGGAATCGAGTGAAATGTAAAATCATCGATCTTCGTCAAAGATTCTTAAGTTTTCGCGCCGGAAACACATCTTAAGGCCGATTCCCACTAGGCGAATTCTTTCACGGGAATCGAATTTTTGCCAATGTGAGCATGCGTGGTGTAATGTTCTCAGATTTCGCAGCGAAAAAATTCGATTCGCAGAAAGTAGATCACAGTCCTACTCTATCGCTACGAATATTTATTCGATTCGCGCGAAAGAATTCGCCTAGTGGAAATTCGAGGCAGTCTTGCATCAGTTATGCAAAAAATCTTGAACAAATTTCCTAGTTAAGACCCCTACGATTTGTACAAATGCTCCTCTCTCATACAGGCAATTGAACTGTTAACTATAGTGTAAAAAATATCGGTGATTGTCAAAAAAACTGTGATTTTTTTACAACATCTGTTACAACCTAGCTTCCAAAGGTAGCATTAGGACCCTGAAAAACTTTCTCGACGAGTAGTTTCCTTGCCTTCCTCTCCATGCAACTACATTTCATAATTCCTATGCCTGAAACAACATGTATGGAGGCTGATATAGAAGGACCATAAAATGCTGGTTTTACAAATTTTGACAGCAAATGGTTTGCCCCTATTGTTGCCACACACCCACCACTACTTGACACTCACTCGGGCTGCACCTCTTAATAAAAGCAAATTCTTGCTCCTTTTTAAAATACTGGTCTTCAACCAAAACAGTTTGTCTGCTTTCATTTCATTCACTTTGCTTTGAAGTACAGCAAACCTCCACTTCAAGCTAACCCATCACAAGCACGAGGCTGTTAGACCTTCTTTATGCCTATGGCTTCACTGTGGAAGTGAAGGCTCCATAAGAAAAGAAAACACCATGATCTACGATAGACATGAACAGAGCGGAGTATTCAGATTGTAGAAACAGGACAAAAAATAAAGTTCCATAAAATGCATAGTTTTGAAAAAGCTTACTTTACAATTGAAAATACGATGTTTAATTTAAAACAACAGATTTTATGAAGCAAAGAAGGCCGAATGGTACGATGGTAGGAACGGGTTATTATCATTAATATTTTCTATGGGGTTATTATCATAAATATTACATTGTGATGGTAACATTTCTGCATTAAAATATCAACCGCGGAATAAAGTAAAACTTACGGATTTACAGCTAACTGGTTCCTTGTTTCTTGATAGCAAATTTCTATACAGGTTGAAGGAAAAACTTAAATAGGAAATTAATCAAACCATCTAGATTGCACTGTCAAGACTGATGCCACTCTGGTGATCGACTGATCATTTTGGCATTTGGGCCGAACTTTTCTACGCGTCTGCAGCTACGCAGCCCAATCTGCCAACACCACTATGAGTTAAATATATTTGGCAAGGGAGCTTCATGTGTACAAAATCACCCGTTTTAACAAGGAAGCTCGTCGCTTGAGGTTAATTTCTTTTTTCAAAAGCTAGCAGTGAAATTAATGTAAAAATATTTAACACGAACGTGTTAGTTAAAACAAAACAAAAATTCCAACTCGAAATCATAATATGTCCACCAGCATGAACAGAAAGCCATCAGCGCAACACAGGATGTTCTTGTGCATTAAAAATATCAACTGGAATTCGCAGCAGAATTGCAGGTGCCTGCAAAGAGGAATAATCACGGATTGAGAAATAGCAATACGCAAGCAGGAATTTATCACAAACTCGCTGTGTCTGCTTGATACAGCGGGTGATACCTTCTCCACAACGTTGTGTTGAGAGTTGTTTACATAAGGAACTGAGCTGCAACACAACAAAGACATATCCAGCTTCAGACAAGGAAATAAGAAATGCCTAAGGGTCGTACAATGCTAATATTGCCCAAAGCCCAATGCAATCATGAAAATTATTCTTGAAAAAATTGCTAGTGCAAACAAACAAGGCGCCTTTCGTTAAGTATTTACTCATCCAACCGTAAATAATTTTCGAAGGTTAACAGTGTTGACTTAAATATTAAGGAAAAAGAAGTGGGAGTTCCGCATGGTTCTTGTCTTGACCCTCATTCTTTCTCATTTATAACAATGATATTTACTAGATTACTCTATTATTCGGTATTACGCTGTACAAGATTCCTCAATCATAATCTTTTTGGATTGGAAAGAGCAAATATAGTCTCAACATAGGTCTCAAGGGCAATCAGCTGCCCTTTTGCCTAAGACCCCTCGGCCTAAGGCAAGTTTAAAACACTTAACATAGCTGTTCACCACTTTCCTGATTGCTGGTCTGTTTCGGGTTGTGCTGGTACTACACATAACACATAGGCTTCAAAATCGTGCTGCCAGAATCACCTTAAACCAACTTTTATACCTCAAGGATTATACTTTTTGATGTGTTGGGTTGGAGGACTATCGAAAACCTTACTTGCACTAGTCTAAAATTACAAGTTTCTCAATGAATTTACTCCATAATATCTGCGTGAACTCTTTACAAGAAACAAAAACGCTCTTTTGGTTCCTTACGTAATACTGAGACTGATCTAATCTTGTCAAGAAATCAAGCACATGGGAGTAAAACTTTTCTTTCCGGGAGTAAAACTATGGACTAGCCAAAAACATAAATCTAAGAAGGCTTACATTTACATAGTCATTAAAAATTCCATCGAGGTTAGAGCTTTTAGCTTCCATTAGAAATGATGTGTAATTTAAGATAGGTCTTATATCAAGGTTCAATTAAGCCTAAGTATTTTATGTAATTGCGCTTAAAACGGAAAGAAAATTGACAAATTGCTGAATGGTAACCCTATTTAAAAGAATGAATGATATATAACATAGGTTTGCAAACATTATTGCTCACTGTTCAAATTTTCAAAAACTGTAAAAATATCTACAAACTATTTTCCTACAATAATTGAAAAAACATGAAAGCATTTTAATGTTACTGGAAGTTTCACTAGAAGTTGGAAAAAAATAATAGAAACTTTCCACATACCATCACGGCAATTCAACGGAGAGGTGATCTGCTTCTTTGAAAGCTAGCGGAAAGAAAATTTTAAATCAGAAAAAGGTAGAACTATTCCAGATATATGTGAAAAACAAATAGTAGATAGAAAGTAAACAATTTTGTTGCAACGGATAAGATGGCTATCTCCTTGAGGCAGTTAAAAAGATTAATACACGAGAAAATTGCCCAGGAATAAAAGCAAATCTCTTACCCTCTGCCAGGGGGTGGTCTGTCCCCTCTACGGGGTGGTGGTGGCCTGTCAGACATCCTAAAGGAAAAAGATACAATTCATTAATACACGTGACAAGGCAACAGTTACCATCGACCAAAATTTTAAAGTATATGATTAAAATATGAACTCTTGAGTGGACAATTCGTGAAGCAAGGCCGTGGTTTCACAAAGAATCAGAAGATATTGTCATCGAAGTGGAAATCGGGTTTCTAGAAGATTCTATGCAATTGGGACAGTGACACGCACTTTGAAACTGGTGACATAGGCAACGTCGGTGCGGGGTAGCAGAGTGCCAAAGTCATCTGCCATAAAGCGATGTCGTCATATTTTCTTCAAATAATACCTGCTGTAGCAAATGACCTGAAGATGCTGACGGCGAAATATAATGTTTTTTTGGAACAATGTTGGGTGATGGTGATTTTGGCAAACGGATAGACCATCTGAGACTAGAAAGCAATTGCTTAGAAAATTTGCCCAATATACAACTGAAGGAGGGGGAAGCACGCAATCCTGAGACCAAAAGCGGTCTCGAGAACGTGAAAAACACGAGAGCGGGATCGTTGTACAAAGGAGAGGCTATTTGGCAGTTCATTATTTCAATACGAAAAATACGATATTTTAAAATCAGCTCCAATGGTAATATAGTGGGAGCAAGGGAGTGCGAAACCAGCATTGACAAAGGTCGTAGCTACGAACACTGAAAGTGGTTTGACGACGCTAAAAAACACCTTTCAGTGGCAAGGGAACGGCACGATGGGCTACAAGAATCTGTGGCTGGTATATGTATCGTCGTAACAAATAACTTCGTGCCTGCATTTAAGCTGCAGTAGCTGGTTTTACGGACCAGGTCTTATAGCCGTGAGGTTTAGATACTGTGACGTATCAAGCGTGTGCGCATGAGCATGCAATCTGTCAATCATCGACGACCTTCATTTTTACCATATCCGCACATGTGGTTGGATAAGACGCAGCGAAGGTGATTAGGTTGTATAAACCGGGCATTTGAGCTTGAAACAAGGGTACAAAGACACACGTTGAAAATTTAAAAGGCCGCAAGGAAGGCGGGTTTTTTGGTACAAATCGGATAAACGTTGATGCTTAAATTCAATTGCTTTAAATTAGTGTTGCTTAAATTGGTTATTTCATCCGTTTTCGATTTGCCCGCTTTTGTACTTGTGACCGGCAAATAGCGCGAGAGACGAGCGGTAAATATAGCGTTATTTCCGTACTTGCTAGGACCAGAGAAATGTTCTAGGGAACATATATTACCATTTAAATTACATCTGCTTTGAGCAGGTTTTGACAAATTGCGAAATGGGTAATTCCAAATTACGAAGAGAATAATGGTGCATTAGGCAGGTGTTATCTGAGAATGGAAAAACGTAGGTAAAAGCCGACGTGAAATATTGACAAGAACTCGTCACAAATTTCGTCACCAGGTAGAAGTCGACGATCACCAATTGCTGATAGAGTTGTAAATTAAACCTTCAGATAAAAGATATGCGACAAACCTGTCACCCATCAATGATGGTGGTATGCGTTTTGGGAGACGTTCTCCTTGGGGGCGATCATTGAAACGGCCATCACTGCCTCTCTTTGGGATACGACTAAACTCATAATCCTCATCTGGCCGACTAGTGGCGAAGTCCTGCTGGCGTCTACCAGCAGGTCCTATGCCCTGGTGCTCTGAGAAGCCGTTTCCACTGTATGCATCTGCACGCCTTCCTACAGCTGATCTGTTTCCTGGGGGTCCTAGGGGAGGGTTTCTTTCCCTTGACTCGAATCTACGATCTTGATAAAAAGATTCCCTCCCTCCACCACTTCTTTCGGACATTATGCCTGGAGGGGGGTTGCCAGGTGGAGATCTACGAGAGAAGCGACTGCGGCCTGCGCCAGGTGATGACCCTCTAAGAGGACCCCTTGGTGGCCCATCAAAACTTCTTCGGGGAGGTAGGTCCCTACCTGGCTGACCATACTCTGGCGGCCCACGAAATGATGGAATCTCACCAGGGGATTCAAACGAGTGATTTCTTCGAGGAGAAGACCTTTTAAACAGCAAATCTCTAGGCAACGATCTGTCTGTTAAAGGACGTTTCAGGGACAATCTTTCCGGCTGCAAAGGTTGGCTTTGGCGGTTAGAAAACAGACCCCTTGGAGGCGAATCGTACGCAGGCTGTCTCCGAGGAGGTACATTTCCAGGTGCTATTCTACCTGGTCCCTCTCTACGAGGTGACATTCTTGATCTTGGTGGTTCAAAGCCTAACTCTCCAGGGGAATGTTGCCTCATACGGCCCATTCTAGGTGGTGAGCGCTGTTGAGGCGGCCCTTCTTGGAAAGGTCTACGAGAAACTCTGGGTGAAGATTCCCTTTCAGATAATCTTGGCGGTGGTGACCTACGTGGGGGAGGGCGTCTCCGATCAAATGGCTCATGGGATCGATTAGAGTTATCTCCCCTACCAGGAGGGCCCCGAAACAGCGCATCATGAGGTCGAGGCCCAGGTAACCTTGACTGTCGAGGAAAATCTGGCCCAGGACCAGGTCTTCTTTCATTATCATCACGTGATATTCCCCTTGCTCTTCCTCTAGCCATACCGCGACCCCTTTTTCCTCTATCGCCCATACCAGGTGGTTTTTTATCGTCTGAATGATGCGACAGCTCTGCTTTGATCTTAACCCCACAAACACGTTTATTGTCCATCGAACGAGCTGCTTTCTCGGCATCTTGATGATCATTAAAGAACACAAAGGCAAAACCTGGTGGGTTTTGTGCTACCCAAACATTCTCAACAGTGCCAAACTTGCTAAATTCTTGCTCCAATGCGTCACGGTCGCCATTTTCACCCAGGTTTCCGACGTAAACTTTGCATGACATGATGGCCTACGCTGCATTCACCTTCACAAAAAACAAATCCTTTAAGCATACAAACCAATACACAAATTGTTTTACGAAAATCTTTTGATGAAGTAGAAATGACGAAGTTTGTTGCATAGGGAACTAAATACTGGTCAAGTAGCAGAATTTGAATGAAAGATTGTTGTCTAGAAATTCAAGATGGCGGTTCAAGACTACAAAAAGGTTTGTTGATTGCAGAAAGACGGTGTCAGCCGGATGACATCAGATAAAAGAATCGACAAATGATCTAATAGAATATAAATTTGGATTCTCGAAGTAACAACAATAAATTTTGTCAATAGCTGCGACTGTTTTCTGCTATTAAGGAAATTGGCAAAAAAAAAACTCGAATTCAATAGATTTTTAGACTTTGACATTGACGAAAATGACAAAATTTTATTGAATACCGTAAATAACCGACCTATTCACAGCAGATAATACCAAATGAGATTTCACAGTTTGATCATAACTTTCCGTTGCAACAGAAGTTGATACGGTTTTGGTAAGTAAAAAGATATTTTGCAAATCGTATACATTTTTAAGCTCAAGACAGATGAACAACAGTCAGAAATCAATTTTCATCAAAAATCGTCACTCAGAGCCTTCATAAAAAAACTTGCTAAGTGTAACTGGGTTACATACCGGGGCTGATTGCCATGGTAGAACTCAGTTGTTGAGAATAAAACACTACAAAAGAATTTCTGTTTGGAACACAAGAAATTAGCACTTTGAACTTAGAGCAGTGCAAAAACATTTTTCTTTTAGAATGTGTTACAATGCCTTTTGAATGTTTACCGCCACCAAAACCGTTTAGCCCTCCCCCAAATCTGTAATATTTTCCATTGTCCCTGCTTTCAGAAGCTTATCATTCCAAAATGTGTACCAATAGGCCATTTGGCATGAAAATGCCTATGCAGCGAATATGTAAATATAAAAAAAAATTTTCATATGACCTCATTTAGGTCGTTACATATACTTTATACACCAATTTGTCTTGTGATTTTGATGAGGGATACTACGATCAAGATAAAATATTTATTCTAGCATCCTTATTATGTCTTGCTAGGATGCTAGGCAATTCAAGACTTTTGCCCATGGCTTTTTCTATAAGTGAAGTCTAGGAAAGTTGCCAGGACAAAATTTGGCCAAACTATTCATCACTTTCTCTTTTTATGACCATATCCTTAAAGAAGCGACACAAATGTAGAATGAGCTCTTTATTCTATGAAGGCGTACGAAAATGGATCATAATGGATGGGATTGGTTTCAATATAATCGATGTATCTTATACCAGATGGGCATGCGCATAAACGGGATAACTATCCGCCATTGTAGCCGTTTGACAGCCACAATGAAAGGCTAGTCACAGAGCACAACTTAAAACAGTGTAATCTTTGTACATCGCCCAATCCCAGCCGCGACCCAAACGTTAATTATCACCGTAGCAGTATCACGTAGTGGCTTGCTGGATCATCACTAGGTAGGCTGAAGAAAGTTCACTGCTGCGCACGTGTGGAAGATGCAGGAACGGAATCATTCGTACGCCGTATTACAAGAAAGGTTTCATCTTTACCCGTTTATGAACAGTTTTAATAAGCATGGCATCTTTGCATTTAAGAATTCGGTGAAAACTTAACTCTTTCACATTTTGAGCGCCATCTAGAGGGGGACGTGGGAGACGTCCATTTAATGGCGTTATGTGAGTTACTGAGCCATGCTAACTTGTATTTAATTTTGTCACAGTGTATGGAACATATGGATCTTATATAGCCATTGCCTCGATGTCCCCACCTTCCACGAGAGGCCTAATACCACTTACTTTTAACTTCAATATGTTTTTCTTACTAGCTCAGATTTTAGTTACTGTCTTTACGTTCTGTTCTCGTAATGGCCTTTGGGCTTTTACGCAATGGCCTTTGGGTACCCATGTAGTAACACAAAAGCGACGTAGGGTGTTAATGTATTAAGAGTACGGCCTGCAAACCTTATCATAAAAAAGTAATTAGCATTAAATGAAAAAAGGCTGAAATAACTATTTTTGCTTGACTAGAGGTTTGAAACATTGAAATGTTGTGTGTGAACTGTTACAATTTCATCTTGTAGAAATTTGTTACAATTTCGCATTAAAATTCAACAATTTCATAGTCGGTGACACAATCAAGACCAGGGCTACCATGAGTCAAATGGATACAGCTCGTTAAATGAGCAACAACAGTAAAAACAATTCCTCTATTGCTTAAGCATTTTTATCACGTTGTATTTTTCCCTTTCTAGTTTCGCATTTCTTTGATTTTCACTTGTGAAGTTAGCAGGTTATGTATATCTGATAGATCGACTGAAGTGGAGATCGAGTCGTAAGGGATTCCCGATACAAAACAACAACATGTAATCACTTGATATTTGTCTTAGTTGGTATTACCCTGGGTAACAGACTCTATATAGCCTGGTGCCCAGGGTAATTTGGTATACAAAGATAGGAAAATTTCTCCGATTAGACTAGGTTTAGCATTAAGAGAAATTCCAGGAAATAAGGAAGGAAGCCATCTACTAGTTTACCGGAAGAGGTTAACATGATCAATTGCGGATTTTTTCCATGGGCCTTACCGTGAATAAAACGTTATTGGCAACTAAACCGTGGTCAGAAAATTGCAAACGAAATTTAAAAAATCGCAGATACCATAAGTTCTCTATATCAATATCAAGAAAAACATTTTATATCTTTATTTTTAATATTTATCAAAGTTAGCCCTCCACACATTGACCAATTCGCAAAATATAGTTTCTTACAATTTTTAAAATCTTGTCAAATTTCATACCAAAATTTTTATATTTGCCCATCTTTTCGATTAGTTCTTCGAAGAGAGTTGTTTCCACTGCCTTGCACTTTTCCAGCTGTAAATGTCGTGGTAAAACAAGCTTCCAGCTTCGAACAAGTTTCCACTGTGGAATACGCCACCCTCCCGAATAAGCTAAAAATACTCCCCGAATAAGCGAATATGCCCCCCCCCCCCCTAAAAAATCTGTTGCCGAAAAAGCCTCCGGGGATTTTATTCGAAGACTTGTTTCCCGTCACAAGGGTATATACGTCACAAGTAGTTAGGGGGAATACTATAACTCGACAGTCGAATGGAAATGTGCATGGTATTAGTGCACTGTATCTGAAATTTACCAAGAGTTCCTTTTTTACAAGTCCACCATATTCATGTCCATAGTGAGTCTGGTACCCAGGGTAATGTCCCCTATGACTGGGAAGTCCGCAATTTATACCTGGCTACATTCCTAGACAGTTCTGCTCTTTATGGCGGTTACCGAATTATGTTTCTTTTTATATTCATTAGTTATGCCTGACAGTCACATCTTACAGTGATGCATTAGCAGTGAAACAGTTAGTCAAGCAGTGCTAGCAAGGTACGAGGTACCTGCTGAGTTTAGATTGCAATAGTACAAAAAAAGAATAAAAATGTATTTTCCCGAACGAACGACAGTCAAAGGCGAAGCAGTTTGTCAAAGAAGGACAAAGCGAGCACAGAGAAATGGATGTTACCTAATGACATAATTTTGGTTCTTATGCTACTATCACCAAATAAGAATAACTTGTTATTTCATTCTGTGCACAATCAAGGGGTTATTGTCAAAAACATTAACATTTGCGGGTAATTTTTAAAATATTACCTTTGACCTATTTTGGCCTTTACTGGACCCCCTGTCAAGCTTTAATTTGAAATACCCCCGGGTTGAAAGTACGTAATAATCAAAATTTGTTAGTGTCGCTAACGCAAAAAGTTGCTAAATTTTACCTTCCACATTTCAAATTTAAAATTTTACCAAAGAACAAAATTTGTTAATCGAATTCCTTTCTTGGTATATTGTGTTGCTTTGCAAGGAAAGCAATGTGTTCATAACCACTTCCGCGTCCTTAACCCCATTCATACGTGCAGCATGGCAACCATTGTGGTTACGCAAAAGAAACAATAGACATGGTAATACTCCGCGACGTTCATACCCGCACGCTGCAAGAATACATACCTCACAAAAAACAGATTGACCTATGGTGACTCGTCCGCTGACTCAGACGCACCAGACGCAGTAAATGCAACCCATTTGTTGTCTGATAAATATAATGACGCAGAATTACTGTTGAACAATGGAACACGATAGCATTTGATTGGCTAGCCGATTCTCATTCTCAATCGTTATTGGTTGATGTTTTTCTTCCAATTTCAAACTTCCTCTTTGAGTAACATATAAAGACCGTCCGAAGAACCGTCCGTTGATGTAAGTAGGGGAATTGACGAGAGAGTCAAAGGACACTAATGCGAAGGTCAAATTGTTCGAAACATGGCATTCAGTACCTATATCAAATCAATAACATCGCTTTTCAAGAAAAATGAAAACACAATACAAGGTTGTTTGATTGTAGCAGCAACTGCAAGTTTAAACCAACTGATTGCAGCATCATTCTTTCAATGCCCAAAATCAGCATATCACAAGTATGGATGGACATTTATGGTCCTCCCTGGACTGATTTTGGCTGTTCTTTCATTACTGGCATCAAACAGCTTTACTTTGGGAATCACAGGGCTTTGTAGGAAAGATGAAGATGTTCCTGAACCAGCAAAGCTTGGCAAAAGCAAGAGGTTTTGGGGCTATTTCTTTAAAACATTGGCGTTCTCGTTGGCTTATGCAGTTTTGGCCTTTACGAGTTGGTTAACTATGTCGCTGCTTTTCACTGATGCATACTCCTGCGCAAAGATTGGAGCTTTCAACAAAAAAACCCAGGATAAACTTTCGAAGGACGATTACTTGGCCAAGAAGGAGAAGTACGACACCGATTCAAGGGTGATTGGATTGATACTGTTGACGGCTGGCCTATCGGGGGTGTTTCTCATGCATCTTATCACTAAATGCTGTTTTTCTGCCTTACCAACAAAAGAGCTGTCTAGTATGAGAAAGTTAGTATATCTTTTAAAATTAGTATATATTTGATTGATTTTTTTTATGAAATCTTTTGTTTCAACGGAAAATCCCTTTTGTTTACAGGAAGAGGAGGTATGAACATAACAACCCCCTATCCATCATTTGTCATTGAAGAATCTTTACAGAAAAATGAAATATGCATGATTTGATTCTCAGAAGAACGCGAGTAAGATGCACATAGGAATCCGGATAGGTAACACATTTTTCTGGATGTCATATTGGGAGGAGTGACTTCATGACCTTTAGGCAACAGGATTTTTTAAGAGAGGCCTTAGACATCTGTTCCCCACAGGCAGGAAAACATTGCTTTCTTCCACGATGCTAATTGTTTGACGTCGAGTTGTTTCAGTTTACCGTAAAAGCTCTATTAAGCCCCCTTTATTTTTTCTCAGTCCTATAGGAGGGGCTTAATAAAAGATTGGGGGGCTTATTTTAAAGTTTTCGCTTGATAAGGGGGCTTAATAGAGAAGAGGCTTAATAGTGCTTTAACAGTTTTTGAACAAACTCTTCTTAAAATACGAAGAAATGTTTTATGCATTACATGGTGTTAAAAAACAAAATTTTAATTGTAGATATGACGAAGTGGAGGCCAAAGCTGCAGATAAAGAATTCGATGTTCTAATGAAAAAATCTGCAGAAGCCACGGGCAAGAAAATGGTTAAAAAGTTTATGGACACATTCTACAAAACTGAAAACTACGAAGAAACAGAATTCGAAAGAAAGGCTATTGCCGACTTGCGAAAGTTTCTTGCTTTGAGATATCCAAGGCTTGACATGATTGGGCAAACATGGGGTAGGTATTGCATTCCGGAACTAGTGCCTGCAAAATTTCACGTCGATAAAGTAGAAGTAGAGGGCGAAGCCAATGACAATACTCCTTTATGCGCTACTTCAAATCTTTAGATTAGATTCAACTGCACGAGGCGATCCAGTTTTACACCAATAAGAAAGTTTTCATAGCAATAGGGAAGTTTGTAGGCGCACCTTAGATCCAGTTAAGCAACCAAGTGTGTCTGTTGGAAACAGGCTCACTGGTAATTGGAGGGACTGGGACGATAAGCATAAGATAAAGAAGAAGCAATTGTCAAGTTTTGTAATAAAGACAACTTTTTCTAAAAGCTTTAACGATAATGTACCTAGACTCTGAGTAAACCATGACAAACTTTTTCGTACGTCATGGGAAAATGACAAGACACATGCAAAATACACACTAAATTCTTTTACTAGTTACCTTCGTGCTAGGTCTCATTAAAGTGACAAGCTACTAAGACATAAGGCAGACATAAGATTTGTAGTTTTAGATTGTCAATTTTGCAAATATTAATCATATTGTTTTAGCAGAGAAGCACTCATCACTTATGGCACATTTGTATTGCAACTATTTAATGTCTGCAGCATCTTGTTAGCCTTTATGTAATTTAATGCAACTTTAATCTGGTTGCATAATTTATGCAGCAATTTGGAACCATAAAGTTTTTAATGCTTTAATTCTGTTGCAATGTTTCATGATAGAGCCATTTTCACCTAGGCTTCTTAGGTACAAGGACATTAAATGATATCAGTTTTAAATGATTTATGTACCCGCTTGTGTAGTTTGATCTTATTGTAAGAATTATATAGAGTGTTGCTGGAATATTGTTGCCTTCTTTGAAATCCATCCTTCTTGGGACATAATCTGTCATAAAATATTTGATATTCAAAGTTTAACAGATATTTTGGGGGTTGATTTGAAGTGTGCCTCTTACTAACACAAATATCGTTAACATGCAAACTGAGTTTCAACTCATGCCAAAGCATGATATGAGAAAGTTAACAGGGCTATTTGAATGCAGCTGAAATTAAAAGGAAATAAACGGAAAACACTGTAAAAACACCTTGAAAATAAAAACTATAGAAAAAGTGAGTAAAGAAATGTTTGAACCAGTAAGGATGTTGAAATATACATTTTTGCAAAATTGAATTAAATCTAAGGGTATGCATTTCATGTTGCAACTAAATTTTGAGTAGGGTTTTTGGGAAATCTATAAATTTTAGATTATGTTTTCATATTCCATCTATTATTCCAAAGAGTGGTAACATTCGGCAAATACATCAGAAAAAACTCAGTCATTGGAACAGCAACTCGCAGTAAAAAAAACAAAGGCTACATTTACAACTAGGATACAGTAACTCGCAGGGAACAGTTAATAGAAATGGGCTGAAATGACACCAAAAAGCCTACATTACCAATAATATAAAATATGAGTGAAAACAAATATGATATAAATTGTGAGCAAAGTTTGCAGGACTAATTTGAAGTAATCATTTTGTTGTTAAGTGTCTAATTCCATCAAAATTCACAAAGAGAAACAAAATATCGTCACCATTTGTTGAATGAAGCTTCAATTCCTTGGCTTAGCCCAATTGCTTTAGACAGTTTGTTTCGATAGTAGGTCAAATGTGGAAAATAGTAATTGTCTCTTGTTTTGGTAAATAAACTCAGAAAATACTATTAATCGGGCTTATTGAAGCACTGCAGCACCTTCTGCCATTATCCCAATGTCTTCTGTGTTTGGTTTGTTTACAAATCCATGCCACAGCCCTTTTATATTCAGGCTGCCTGTTCAATTTTTTGAAAATCTGAGGCTAGATAATAAACTTGTTCTTAAATTCATAAGGTGTGTGCAGTGCAATTGCTCACTGTTTTGCTCTAGGAAGGGGTTCAGGCCTCATTTGCTGACAAGCTTGAATATTCACCAAAAAGCACAATGGCTAAAAATCCTCATTTTTGAGATGAAGCATTTCTTAGTAGTTAGCCTCAGTTTATCCTTAATTTGTTCTTAAGTTTTGTACAATTTTGAGGCTTGTTTTCATATAAAATTGTTCTTAGAAAAAAAGAGTGTAAATGCAATGAAAAGGAGCATTATTTTCTTATTTTGGCAATTGACTTCAATGAAACTGATATAATTTCTTATCTGAACAAATTCTCATCCAAAAGAACTTATAAACAAGATTCTAGCTCCTTCATTCTGACCATACAGAACGTAGAAAAAGAAACTTCCTCAATACTCAAGATTCCAAACTAGTAACTTGCCACCAAACAGTCCAAACAACATGAAGTTTTAAGTTCAATCAAGTCGGGAGTCCATTTTTGACATAGGTCTCTTGCTAGTCACCAGAGTGCAAAGTATTTTTTGTGTGTGGGGAATTATTTTCTGCCACTTACATTTGTGCATGAATAAATAATGTTGCAAAAAAGTAGACTAAAAGCTGTGGAATTCCATTTTTAAATAGCATTTTCAAGGCTCGCAATGAGTCTATGCACGGAATTCACACAAAAGTATGTGTTCCAACTGCACGGAATAATCTAAATTTGACAAAAAATGCGCAGACAGGATTTGGGCAAAAAATTATTGCACGGGGAATGTGTTCCCCACACATAACCCAAACTTTGTATGGGCTAGTGAGATGCTTAATTGAGGTCATCAACTCTGAACAGAGAATTAACAGTAATCAATTTCATGAATGTTCTCCATGAAATAAAAAAACTATATCATCACAGGCTCTGTACCTAGTTCCTATTGTAATGCAGATCCCCCAAGTCTTTTGGTTTCACAAGGGCAATCTAGGAAAGGTTCACAATTTCCCATAACCAGGTTTTGCTAATTTATATTTCAAAGGTTTGTTAATGGATTTCTGCCTTCAAATATTTAACAAAGAATTGCACAAGAGGCACCTATAATGATAGTTTAAAATTTTTGCCATAAAAAGCTGCAACGTAATTACATCACCCTCAATAAGTCACTCTGCCAAAAAGGCCTTAAATACCACTGAAGATTACATATGGTGTGCCCAGGGATCAGTGCTAGGACCTTTGCTTTCTTTTATACATCATCGATTTACCAAGAGTTTCAAAACATTTAAAATTCTTCCTCTTTGCTGATGACACAAATATCTACTTTGAATCAGAAACACTTGAAAAGCTCACTTACAAGGTAAACAAAGAACTAAAATATGTCAAACTTTGGCTTGATCCTCTGTTTGAATATAAGTAAAATTTTTCATTTTTCATTCTTCCTCAGCCTCATTACCATTAGACATTATAATCAAAATCAGTAAAAAGCATATTTCCAGTGTAAAATACATCAAATTCCTAGGACTCCTCTTGGATGAACACCTTCATTGGAAATATCATCTTGCTGAACTCTCAAAAAACTGGCAAGAGCCTGTGGCATTGTTTTCAGGATTAGGAACCTCCTTCAAACAGTTACATTAATATCAATTTATATTGCTTTGTTTATGTCTTTCTTACAATATGGTATTAATGTTTTGGGATAAACATTTGATTCACATATTGAGCCATTATTCAAATTACAAAAAGAGCTGTTAGAGCTATATCACATCAAGAATTCCTTGCTCATTCTCTTCCTATTTTTAAAAACCTAAAATTACTTAGAATCTCCGATGTCTTTAAACTGAAACTATTATCTTTTGCTTATGATTCAATCAATAAGCTAACCCCAATATATTTCCATATTTTCTTTTTCCGTAATACATCTATTCACTGTCCTGGCACAAGGCAATCAACACGTGGTGATCTCCTCCTCACTATGGCAAATACTTTACAGTACGGCTTAAAATCAACTCAATATATGGGGGCAAAATTATGGAACAATCTACCCGTAGAAACAAGAACTACCACTTCTAAATTCTTATTCAAAAAATATTTGAAAAATTATCTTCTAGAAACTATTTGAAATTCAGTGAGCTTTGCAAAATTTCTTGTTTAGTCCATAAAGTAATTTAATTGAATTCAACGAGACATAATTATAGATGAACATATAAATCGCTGAAACAAAAGGGGGGCCTTCATCTCGTTAGTTAACCTACTTCGAAGGCTCCTCCTTAGGAATTCTGCTTCATTTTGTCTTTTAAATATTATCTTTTAAATAATGTTATTGTTGTTGTTGCGTTCTTTAGTCGATTTGTTTATAAATTATGTAACTAACTAGCTTTTTAGAAATTTAGTAGAATTTGAACTAAATCAAATCAAATTAAATCAGATCAAATTAAATCAAATCAAATCAATTTGGGTACCAGACCAGCCTCACATGAGAATGGCCTAACAAGGATTTCCTCGACATATGCTCTTGGATAAAATGTTATGCGGTGATTATGTACTAGCATATTAATACGAAAATCAATTATATAAAGGAATATCATTATCGGTAAGATACGTAAGAATAATTGTATAAACAATATCATACCCTTGCACTTTGCTCTACGTCGAACAGCGTTGAGGCATGCTTCAATGATGATAACACCCCGCCTCCTGCTCCTCCGCTGTATCGCTGTATGCCAGTTGCATTATGGGACTGGCACTCTCGTTTGAAAATGAAAATTATTGGGTGGGTAACGGGTAACTTGTATGGTTTGCAAAAATATTTTTGATTTTATTCATAGAATATCATACAATAAAAAGACGACCCTGCTTACCAGAGAAATATTAGAATTGTTGTTACTTTCGTTTCTCCACTCTCAATGCTCGGGCAAATGTTGACGCCGCTCTTCTTTCCCCGGGTCCATTATTTGCCTTATGCTCATTGGTCAGGACGTGAGAAGCATTTCAAAGTTGGAAGGACACAGGTGGGAAGTGCATGCTGTTTCAAAAGGTCGTCTTCCAAAATTTCTTTGGATTGCAGTGATAATAAAAGGGTAATTTTCTCAAAAATTAGGGGTCATGTAATCCGGTTCCAAAGTCTCTGCTCGTGTGAACGCGTTTCATGATACTCGCCTACAAACTCAAGCTTCACGTTGGCACAAAAATGACAAGTTTTTTAAAGGTAGGAAAGAAATGTTTCTAAGTAATTGGAAGCTTACTCTGGGGATGAATAACATTGTGTTTTACCGTGACACACGAACTTGTTATGACTTTATTTTTTGATTTAACATTTCAAGTCTGAGAAATTTATAAAAAATGGGACCATTTGTCAGAATAGGACCTCTCCTGTTGATAAATTAGAGTTCTGCTCTCCCATATGGACACAGATTATGGCTTTTAGGTATTTCATTGTCATGTTTTGAGTCAAATTTAGAGGCAAATCATTAGAGTTTTTTTGCATGAATATTCCATAAGACGAATCAATTTTCCAATTTTTTGGACTAAAGAAATTGCAAAAAATGTGTTGCCTAGAAGATCTTGATTTTCTATATCCACTGCAGTGAACTCGCAAAAAATGCTTAAACCGTAAGCTAGACAAAAAGAAGCCCCCCACCCCCCACGATAGCGTACAAAAAGTCGAAAAGAGCGAACAACAGGTAGCATCATTCGTGACTTGTTATCAAATACTCTTTTGATGATGAAATAAAATCAAATTAATGCAACTAAACGCAATATTGCCAGCTACTTTTCAAATTAGAGGAATTATGATGACTACAAGTTCTATTTAACGTTGATCGTAAAAACTGTTTCACGAATACTTTGGTGCACTGCTGGTCGTAAAAAGCAGTTTCTTTCCTCGTTGCTTTTTCTTGCCCTTTGGTTTCTGGTCAGCATTCTGCGAGTCGCCTGGAGAAAGCTGTCTTTCAAACGCTGAGTTCAAGGCATCACTAAAAGACAAGGCAAAAGAGGGAGCTGGGATCGAGTCTTCTTCTGTGACGTCATTTGAATTGTTCGGATTGCGTCCGTTGTTTGAACCTGCAAAATAAAGAAGCATTTGCATAAACTAGGATCTTGTTCTGCCCTTGGAACAACAAAGTACAGCACATCTTGCATCACCCTTTATTGTAAAAAATACCAGTTTTTTTGCTCTCGCAACCACAGGGCCTTATTCCAAATAAACAAAAACTCTATATTCTTATAACTAAGAAAAAACCGCCATGAAGAAGCAAAATGAAATCTGTGCATCTGCATCCACAGATATCATAGATAAAATAAGACACATAAACTGCACAGACATCTGACACGTACTGGCTTCTGAGACAGTTCTCTGTCTTGGCACATCCACTCTCCGAGGCACTGTCTGTGGTGCTCGTTGCAAGGCATTTGCAAAGGAAGAGGCGCCCCATGCGGCAGGAGCTGCTGTGGATATCGGGGTGGCATCAGGCGAGCTTGCTGCTATCTGAGATGGGAAATCATCCAAGCTTTGCAGATCCAAGGAGGCAGCTTCTATGGGCTTTTCAACCTCTGCAAAGAGACCAAGAAAGTGATTTTATGCATATAGGGAAAAAACGCGTTCATAAAATAAGTAAACTGCTACATAAGTAAAGGCTACAAAAGGCTGCTATCTCATGACATTTTTCACGAAATTTGGTGCAAAATCTAGCCAAAAGTTTTACCCAACGGAAAAAAGCATTTGAATTCTAGAAACCCGATTTGGTTTAATTTATATACGTTTTTCTATGTCTCTTTATACAGTGTAGAAGATCGTTTTACTTTTTCTCCCCACGGCATACAGTAAAAACTAGACCCTGAAACCCCGAGACCTTTTTAAGTACTTACAACAAAAAGCCCGTCTCCCCTTTCTAGTGCCAATCCAGCATTGTATGCATAATTTTGTGCGTTTTTCAGATTGGGGTACAAAATTAAAGTACAAGATGATCCCAAAAGTTTAGAAAAATCTTTAAACTAACTGTTCTTGTAGAGAGTTCTGCAAGTTATGGGCGTGGGGTCGAACACTTTGCAAAGCTGCAAGTCAATCAAAATCGTCAGGCTGCGAAGCTAGCAGTCAATTTTGATCTACAATTGTTTTATAGGAGTAAAAAACCCTTTACTGTTAAAGGTCGTTGTTATTTCTTCAGGGTGCTGGGTCTAAGAGCTTTAGGTCTGGTTTTTACGATACGCCCTCGATGAATGCAATATGTCTCATCATGTCCCAAACAAACTAACTTAGTTTGACAGAATGAATTTCCACCCATCACTGCTACCTTCTGATTTTTGTAATTCCCTTTAGCTGTTCAAAAGACTGAGTATTGTTGGGTACATACCTCTTCCAAAGCTGTCTATAGTCATTTTTCTCTCAATTTGCCTTTGGAACTTTTTCTCGTCTCTTTTCTTGCGTTGCCTTGCTAACTTTCTTTGGTGGAATTCGTCAGCAAATTTTGCCAGTGTGTCTCGTGATAAAACTGGAGGCCGAATCATGAGTTCACAGAAAGTGAATTCACAGGCAAGTGGAAGGTGGCTCAGATAACGAAAGCGCCTCCTTAACTCCTGAAAATACAAACAATGGTTAGAGACTACTAGAGTTTGTTACGTTCACTAAATTATGCTGAAATTGATTTCATTATTTAAAGCATTACTAAAGCCTTCTGGTGTAGTGTCTAAGACTTGAACTCAAGACCCAAAGGTCGTGGGTTCCAGACCAGCATTTGCCACTTGTGAGGACAGCCCTCTTGGACAAAGTGTCAAAACAAATTGGGCCTTTCTCGACCAATGAGTATGATTTGTTATCAGGCCAAAAGTAATGAGCAGCATTTGTGGCTGGACCCAGCTATATGGTCTTGAGCATTTCCCCCCAGGTGAGCGGGGGGAGGGGCAGAGGGTAGTGCGTTGAAGTCGGTAGTGTGTTGAAGTCGATCGAGTAACCCTTGGCTAAACTACAGCCTATTAACAACAGTTTTATTTTTATTACTTTTAAGCTTGGAGATATCTATGAAGATAAATAAGCTTAAATGATATTTTCCCTTTGGTGACAACCATAAAAAATATCACTTTACGGGACATTATTTGAGAAGCACATTTTAAAACACAATATTTCAAGTTTACGTAGATGATTACTTACAGGTGTCATACTGTGGGACTCAATGTCAATTATTTGCGCCGTTATCTTTTCAGGGCATGATTGCAAGCTTCCATACTCTGTAACAAGGCACCTGACATTCACAGGCTGCAAATAAATGTTTTGGCCATCGACAGCTGGAAGAAAAGATTTTATTAACAGCATGTATAAAGATAGGCCTTGGACACTTGAAAGGAACCTGAAGGTTATATTCCTCTATGAAATTCTAAGACAGGGAAATTTACGATTTTGCATTAGAACTACGAATTTTTTTTAAATCAAACTAAAGTGGTTTCAAGTCATTTCGCAATTGTTATCTGGTTCAGTTGCAAAGGAAGAAGTAGAAATTATCACTGTCGATCCTTGCAAGGCCTGGTTCTCTCCAGAAACTGGCTTGACCTAATTTATCAGTAAGCAACTTATCAAAGTTGACCCAAAACATAAACTTTCACTATCCGAAATTATTTTAGTAACTTTACAGCATTACAAAGTTTGCAGATTCAATAAAACAAAAACAAACCTTGGTAGTAATAATAGTATTCAGGTGTAACACCAGAATTCACATTTTTGCAGATGCCTTCCTGCGGGCTTAGCTGAGTATCCTCTGGTCCAGATTTTGGCTCAATTTCTGGCTCTTCCCAACTCAGATTGTTCGCATTTGTAGAACAAGAGGCTCCTTCATCTTGAATGGCCTTATCTTCCTCTTCATCATCTGAAAAAGCTGGCTCCTGGGCTGCTAACGTTGCCATCTGTAGTAAAAAAGGTGACAGAATTAAAACTTGTGTGGAGATACGAAAAAAATAAAGGAATTTTCAGTTGAAATACTCTTACGCTGGGATTCAATCATAATGCTATTGATACTTGTTTGAGGCAACCGAAACTTTCGAGAAGGAGGGAAATGCTTCAGGCTGCAGCATAAGATCGTAAAACTGTTGTTGGCACATTTGCCGAAACTGCCATGTACCTTATTTTGTACGATATCCATAATTTGCTTCACTTTCCCACCATTTTCAGAAGGCTCTTTAACATCTACAAATCAAATGAAGCAAAATATACCACAAAATGTTACATAATTTATAGTAAAATATAAATCATATAAAAGGATACTTTAAAAAGGATACTTTCATACTAAACATTTGACACTGATGAAAACGAAATCGTGTGAACAATGGTATTGATCAAATGGCTATTCATTTTTTCTAATTCTTAGCGGAAATTTTTGTGACAAAATTTAAATGTGATGACAAAATATAAAGTTTTCAGCAATACCCCGTTTGGATAAGACAACATCACGGTTCTCCATTGAGCTTAGAAGTTTCTTTTCTTTTTCCTGGAATGAAGTGTAAATGTTCCTTATTCTTGATTTTACACATTGAGGTGCATTTTCAAAGGGTATGTAAATTGGTGGAAAGGTTCGGAGCAAATCTAACTACCAAATGATCTACGGGCAACTGCTTTGGTAGTAAAGCTGAATTCACACTGGACGCGTCACGGCGCGGCGCGTCATGACGCTGACCAAATATGGTTAGCATTTTCGGCAGCTATGCGCACGCAGCGCGTTTTTTCAGCCACGCGTCACCGAGCGTCAAAGTTAAATAAATTTAACTTTGACGCTCGGTGACGCTTCAGAACAATAGAAAACCTAGAGAATAAACAAGGAGCCAGACGACATGACAGCCAGAAACGTAAACAAGGAGCTTCTGAAATAGGCCATTATAAAACTGTATTGCTTGTACGGTGAAGTATATTATGATGAGTCTCTCTGATTAAAGCATCGGGGGGCTAAATTCTGAAAGTGACAAAAATAAATCACATTTATTAGTTTATGATAAGTAACAGTGTTATTCGTGTTTAGAGTCTTTTCGATGATATAAAGTTGCCTCGTCGATGTTCAATTCAACAATGATATTGAGTCATTGTTTGTTCCGTTTTGGTAAAAAAATATTTCAATCACTCCCCGTTAAGCTTTCAATACCTTCCAAAGGTTTACTTCCGAGGGATTTAATACATGGAAATTTTGGGGAGTGTTGATAAAAATAAGCTGTTTAATTTTCCCTCGAATTTTGGCAGGAAGGGAAACCCCATGAATCCGTAAAGCCAAACGTTTTGCTAATTGTAGTAGACCTTCCAAATCTTTAATATCAATAAAAATTTCGGTTCTATAATGAATGCTTGAAGAGAATCGTCTTCCTGTCAAAACATTGGCCAACCTCTCGAACCGAAATGTCGACGAAACCGCACGAGACTTAGAATACCTCATTTTTTGGCCAAGATGCTGTTTTTGATATTTTAGCTTCAGATTACCGTTTCATTCGTTTCTGTAGGAAACTTAAATGTCCAGCTTGACTTTGCAATGCAAGGAATACAGTACAACTTGTCAATAATTTTGCAAGTTTGCTGTGAACAGCATTGGAAAACAGAAAACGCGCCGCTCGATGACGCATCGTGTGTGAATAGCATGAAGAAGTACATGACGCGACGCTCGATGACGCTCAGTGACGCGCCGCGCCG